GAGAGAGCAGACATTGATTTGCAAAGTAAGAAATTTGCTTGGAGCCTAAAGGCTCATTCTGTACCTCAGCAGCAATTCTGCCTGTCACAGCTCTGTAATTGCTTGGTCTTATGCTATGTAAAATCCACAAATCTTCAGAAAACAAAATATCTACAAATGCCAGAAGGGACATTAGCATCTCTCAGTCTCTCCCAAATCTAAACAGCTACAAATCAAAAGCTAATCTTACATAGTGTCTTTATTGGTGTTCAAAAACAATCAGGATCCTATAACACAAGGTCATCTGCTTTTTGTTGATTTTGGTTTTTTGTATTAACAACAAATACACAGAGCAGGCCAGAGGAAAGTGAGTTGGACCAGCCCAGAGAAGACCTGGTTTCTGCTCCCAAATATGCTTCCTGGCTTTCTGTACAAGATGGGCTCTACCATGAGCACAATTGAGCAACTATTACTGTGTCCTTGGTTATTTATTAATCTGGTCAAATCTGACTGTTTTATAGGACAGGTGATCTCTCTGGCAACCTTTAGAGTAAAACCAATGCAAAGTGACAAGGCTGATTGCTGTAGTGAGGAGGTATTAGTAAAAGCCCAGATCTCCATGTTTCTTGCCCTCCACAACTGTCCTTCAGCTGAAGCAAACAAAAAAATCGACCTTAGCTTTTCATAATGCTATATAATCTTTTGAGAGTTCTATTTACCAAAACATCCTATTTGACATCTCCATGCTCACAATTTTTAAAATGTAAAATTATGTTCATTGACTGAAAATGCATACATCACTTTATTTATATTTAATCCATACACATTTACACAAAAGCTTGCAGAGTGTAGCCTTTGTAGTTTTCACTGCATATTAAGAAAACATTAAAATCACTCTCTGCTTTGCAATGGAAATATACTCTTCTAAATAATGGTTCTCTTCTGAAAAACAGGAGCTAAAAATATTAAGCTCTTCTGATTTAACTGTATTTCTCTCTTTCAGACTATTCCTGATTTTATTTTCCAAAGGAAAACTGAACTGCTAAAAGTAAATAGTTAGAAGCCTGTTTTTCTCATTTGGTCATATACATACATGCCTGTTTCACAAATCCTCCTTCTGCTACTTCTTTTTCTTCCATACTGATGCCCCCTTTGGTAAAATGAATTCAGGTTCATAGGAAAAAAATACGTCGGAAAGGACCTAAGGAGGTCACCTGTTCCAGCTTCCTCAGAGCAATACCTTCTTCAGTGTGAGGTCTGGTCTGGTTGAGGTTTGAAAAGCCCCAAGGAGGGAATGATTTTTCATCGTGCTTTGCCACTCTCTTGATGAAGAATACATTCCTTGCATCCAAATAAATTTCCTTTGTTACAAATCACGAACATTGACTCTTGTCTGTCTGCTGTGGTGTCTTTCAGAGAGTCTGAAAAAATCTCCAGAAACTCCCTTGGATAATGGAAGATGGCAACTGGATCCCCTCAACCACCTATAACTAAGCGAAACAGGTTCCATCAGGAATTCCTAGAACCTCTCATGCTCTAGCCTTCTAACCATTGTAACAGCTCTTTTTTGGCTTGCTCCAGTCCATCCTTACTGGGGTCTCAACACTACACAACCTTTCAAATGCAGCTACTGGAATTCACCTACAAAGTCAGCTGGAATAGCTCAGCTCCTCAGTGAGGTCTAAAGAACTTTCCCTGCAGATGATTAGGGAGCTCTCCTACACTTCCATCCAGTAAAGACCTACTGGAACTTCTGGCAAAAGGTAGGTACAACTTTCAGCCACGTCTGTACAGGAGTGTTTATCTCCTGATCTGGATCCTTTTAAAAGGGTCTTTATGACCTTAAGGCTAATTTTCAGGCACCTCTCTCTTGCGTCTTGATATAAAGTTATTCCCATCACAGTCCAAGGAAGTTTACCTGCTAGTCAAGGAGAACTCCATAAGTTCCAACTGCCCTAAGAGCCTGGGGAGTTGTTACAGTGTTGAAGGCAAAACTGGCCATATAAAATAGCCAAATACAAACCAGCTAGGAATATACCATGTCCCTGAGTTGTTCATGCCAGAAAGCACCACAAATCCATTGGAATGCAGTAAAAGCAATAGTAATAAACAAAACATTTCATCTTCAAGGAAGGACCCAAACCAGAAAAGCAAGTCTACGTTATTTGCTAATGCCCTGGCCCCATAATTTGTAACAGGAATACTATGGGACCAAACGAGTGATGTTGCAAGTCTTAAGTAGCTAAACAGATCATTTACAAATGGCTATAAATAACCCACATGTTGATATTCAGCTTCCTGCAGCCTGTGCGAGTATGAGAAATGGCTCCAGGAATAATTTCAGAAAAAATCCCTGTCCACTTGCTGACTTCCATTCTGCCTTTTGCTTTCACATCCTCTTTGGAATACTCTAGCATTTTGCAATGCTGTGAAAAATCACATTGCTGCTCTGTTTCTTCTGCCTTGGGAAAAAACCCCTATTTCTGATATTCCCATCTTGAAGTGCTTTTTCATCCACTTGGTCAACGGATTTGGATGGAGTTTGACAGAACATTTCTATTCCGCAGAACAATATTCTAAGAACCCTTATCACTTCACATGTTTTGTGAGTCCCGTAACACTCATTCCAACCCCATTTGCTGTAAATTTCTTCCATAAATCTTCAGTGTAACTTTCCTCAAGCCAGCATTCCCCAACACCCTCTGCCACAGAAAACAACACTTTGAGCATCCCCATTGGTAAATCTACCAAATGAATGAAACCAATTGCAGATTCAATAGGAAAAAGTCCAGTGGCAACATAGGAAGTCAGGAAACACTGGACAGATCCACCAGAATTTACTGGGGGAAAAATCAAATGCCTGTATGGAAAGTGTTGTAATTTAGTTTTATTCCAGGTCTAAAAGTGGAAAAACTTCAAGCTTCATACTACTTTACAGCAGTGCGGTTCAGCATCTGCCAATGTTTCCATTATGAACTGCAATTTTCAGGGGTTTATAACTCAGCCATAAAAATTTACTTTGGTATGAAGCTAGAAATAAAAGCTGTCCACCCAAAAAAAGTAATTATCCTCCCTGTCCCCCAGTCCCCCCTTTTTTTTTTTTTTTTTTTTTTTTTTTTTTTTTTAGTAGAGAGTTAAATCGGATTTGGTTATTTTTAAGCCAACTCACTTTAAAAAAGGCACTTTTTTGTTACTTTTTGTACTATCACAAACTATAGATGATCTTGGGGGATTTGGAGTTATACTATATGACAAACCACATACAATTCACAATCAATATGCTGCAAGAGGGCAAAACTCTTTTTGGTTTGCATTAAAAATGTGAACAACATTCCTAAGAAGTGGGCAGTAGTTATTCTGTGCAACTTTGCTATTGCATCCAGAGGACTCTAACCCAGTTAAACATTGAGCAATAAAAATTATATAGACCTACTAAACATGACATAAGGCAAGGCTGAAGAAATTAGATTTCATCTAGGAACTGAATATCAAGGAATAAGTGACAACCATTTGTCTAATATGAAAAACAGAAAAAAAAAATTGAAAGGAGGATGGTGATAACATGCTTTCCAGGTTCAGCTCAAAAAGTGTAGGAAAAAAAAGGTTTATCTGCAAGAATGAAGTTTTAAGTTACATTGGTAAGTTCACATGGCAGTGAAGTCATGCAGTGTAACCACCCTCATATTGACCTCGTCATATTACTTAGCAAATATTCCTCTTGAGGCTGGATAATCACTTTGAAGTTGGTGGAGAAATGTAGCGCTCAAATACAGGTTACTCACATATAGCACTCAGATACATACCCCAAGGTTTTATGACCAGATTAAAAAATTCCCAAATTATCTTTTCTACTGAAGATAATTTGTGTTTTTCTTTTTTTTTTTTTCCTTTGCTTTGGATTTCTAGAGTTTTTAGAGCATATTTTCAATTTTCATGCAATTCAGACTAAACTTGAAATGCCAATAAGTAAAACTTCTCACAGTCATGCCTTTAAATGAGCTTTATGAAATACATCACAAAATCATGACATTTGCAATAGAATGACACAAGTTTTTAGCTCTGCATTTAGTCCATAATGTAGCTGGCTTACTTTCTGCATTTTATTTGGGACAGAGCTACTAAACAGAGCAGTTTCTTTTTTTTTTTACAGTGTATCTTTTGTTTCACTTTGCTAAACTAACATACTTTCAAGTGTCTTTTTACCAGCAACTTCCCAACCTTTCCCCAAAGAATTATACCCTCTATATCCAAAGCAGCAGTTATCCATACCAGTTGAATGGAATTTGGGAATCAATTTTTTTAGTCTTTTGGGAAAGAATGAAGAACTTCTGAAATTATTAGCAAGAAATATTTGTTGGCTTCTCATCTTTTGTCTGGTGTTTTATCACAAAGGCTGGGAGTTTAACACAGTGTAAAAACACTGATTTATAATTTGAAAGATTACAAAACTTTGAAAAGCTTCTGACCATGTTTAAAATTTGGCTGAGGGATCAGCTGAAAATGCACTTTATTTAATGCACATCACATACATTTTAAATATTTCTGATTCTTTCCTAAAGAGAAGCTTATCTCCAAGTGGTGGCTGGGGAGAAGATCATAACCTCCTGGCCCTCTCAAAAGCTTCTGACATTTTCTATTGCCCCTCTTGCCCCTTAAGTATTACATCTTCTCTGAAATGTGGTTATGTCCCCCAGAGCCTTTCCTCTGAAGGTTATTCACCATCTCAGTTGTCCTCCCTCACTCCCTCCAAGCATGTCTCATTAGATTCCATCATGCCTGGTATGTCTGATATATGATTCCCAAGACACTGACTGCCAACTTCAAACTGCCAACACTATTCTGGCTCCCCACACTATTCATTGCTTTTGATCCTATAAAACAAACAAACAAACAAACAAAACAACAAAAACCCCCAAACCAACCCACAAAACAAAACAACAGTACATGTCATTTGTCTTCCAAGAAGGTCAAAACCTCTGGGATCCTGTTTTTCATCCATGCATATTACTATGACAACTTACCTCTCAGTGTACCTCAGGTCTCAGGTTGCAACATCAATCCAAACACAAAACCTAGAGGTTTTGTTTCTGCATCTGGGCTGTGCAAGGAAAGCCCAGCTTATCTCTGAGTGAATGGGCAAGATCACCACCTACTTGCAGCCGCTCAAACTCAAAGTATGTTAACAGGCTAACGTTACTCTGATGCTGACCTCACATGTGATACCCTGGTCATCCATGTGCCAATCCTGCCCCTTCAGGCAGAAGAAACTCCTTGAATGTTTGGCTCCTGCCCTTCCACTCTTAGTTCTACTCTGAGTCCAAAACACTGCTCACACAAAACAGCCATGCAGAGACCTGGGCTCCAAGCAGAAAACACTTTGGGAAGGGACTAGATAACTCTTCCCAGATAGGACCAAACTGACCTAGGGTGAGCAGCTGAATAATTCAGCTTAAATGATCTTTGCCGGTACAGACTACACTGAAACTTTGGGTTTGCCTTGAAACAGTTTCAGTCAACTGGTCTGAGACCAAAGCACTCTTGCAAAAACATGGGCTTAAGTGTAAGGTGCCAGACTTGGTGCATTTACCTGATAAAAACACTGCACAAAGTCCATGTGCCATCAAACACATGATGACTGAGCTTGGATTTACACAGTGAAGTCACAGAGCTGCACAGATTCCTCTGTTATGGATCCTGCTCTGGACAGTGCCCCACAGAGCACAGTGCTGTAGTACAGACACTGCTCCATGCTCCACACAGGACTCAATGCCCCCAGGCTGCCCCCACTCCTCATTTTCCCCTTCCCACCAAGATTTTAACAAAATAGATGGCAGGCTGTAGTAGCTGCACAAAGCTCTGATTTTTCAGTCTAACATTTGAGGTTCCCTAGACCACATCTCACCTCCAGCTAAGGAATTTTCAAGACAAGTAAGAAAATGAAGCAATACTATTATAAGCAGCCTTTGGGAGGGTTGCAAGTCATGCTGCTGATGACTAACTTTAATCACTCTCAGAGCCCTGCAACTTCCTTGAAATAACGCAAAATGTTATTCTGAAATGGAATCTGTATGCAAAAAGTAAGAAAAACAGACTTTGATTTACCAGACTTACAACTATGATTAGGACTATAATGGTGGGTCAGAATTTTCTCATTACATCAGGGGGTCTATAATTAGCCCCTAACTGTTTTTGAGGGAGTTAGAACATCTTTTAGCTTGCCAGTAGTGGCTATATGAATTTGAACACAAGTGCCCCCTCTCCAGCTGTCAGCATTATGTCACCATTTCACCTACATTTTTTGAGGCTTCTAAGAAAATAATAATTAAAAGCATACTACTGAACTTTTTGACATCATCTGTACTATCCTGGAGAAGCAGATCCTCAGATGACATGAGGTCAAGCCCCCAGTAACTCCACTCATGTAAGGACATTGTCTGATGCATTTTGGCACAGTTCAACTGGTCCTAAATGAGCTCCATCAATTTACAGAAGGAACTGGCACTGACAACTCTCCTCTGTTCTGTATAGCATTAACATGTCCTCCTAATTATTTATTGAAAGAGCACTTTATTTTCCTGCTGCTCTCCTAAAACCAAGTCCTTCCAAGGTGGTCTCCATCCAGTGCCTGGAGCCGGAAATTAAGCTGCTTTTGAATGCCTGAAAGTTCTGTGTGTCAGCAGACCTGACAGTTAACCTGACCAGGTCTGGCCGGCCAGCCAGAAGCTGAATGTGTTCAAAGCTCTGGAGATTATGTTGGGCACAAATCTAGGAACACAATTTGTGGCATTTAGTTGTCTCAGTAAGCCAAAACATGGTTTTGACTACAAGTGACATTGGCACATGCAGATGTCCAAGTAAATCATTATAACACACTCACTTGTGGTTGTAGCACTGGAGGGAATTTGACAAAGTCAATGAAGCCCATCCTTCTTAGCACCACTTCAGCATTTGATTAAGTACAAAGGAAAGGTTTTAAAGAAAGTGCAGTGAGTGAAATTTAAATTACTTGAGGTAATTACAGTAATTTTTAAAACCTACTTTAATAGTGACTGCTATGGAGGAACACTGTACTAAGTTTTGACACGAGTTTCACTACAAGAAGGGAATGACACTGATTTCAAATACTACTACATCCAGCAAGAAAAGGAAGTACACACAATAGCAAGATCATAGACGAGGATCGATGCTATAACTTCTGCTGCAAGTGTAATGTAACCTGTTGTGGCAGCCCATTAAAGTCCTGTGGTTAAAAATATGATGTCTGAAGCAGCTTTGTCAATACCACTTCCTGTTAAAGAACAGAGACTATCACAACTAAAAAAAAGAAAAGCCAGTATTTTCTGAAAAAATAATTTTCCAAAATACATATATTCCTAAAGTAATAATTTTAATTATTGTAAAGATGCAAAGACAAGAATATTTACCTGTATTACTCTGTCTTTCTTTATCTCCCCTTATATCAATTTTCCCTGGTAAAAGGAAAGAACTAGAAGAGAAATGAAGACAAGAATCCCCAAAGGAATCAAGAACCTTTGTGGCTTTTGAAGATAAAATAAAACTTTTCCACGGTGAAAGGAAGGTTGTTGGGAGGGAGTGAGAGAAGAAAAACTTCAGTGAAGCAAACTTAAAAAAAACCACCCCAAACTGACAAAATAGAAATTGTTGCACCATTAACTGGATTTCAAATCTCAAATAATAAGGGCAGCCAGCCTGCAAATCTGGAAGGGAATTCGGCCCATGTTATTGGCGAATGATTTCAACACAGCCCCAAGGGAAACGCATTTAAAGATCCATATGTTTGCTTGGCACCAAACCAAGTTCCATTAAATAACACTGTATTCAGCTACACAACAAATTTACTTACCATACATTTCATATGAGAACTAATTTGTTTGATAGCAATATTGCTGATGTTTATATTGGTTTACTGTAATGGAAACAGTATTTTCTAAACTATGAACAAATGCATACCAGTAATTTTACAGTGGCTTAACCAAAGTACTGGTAGTACTTCAAGAAGGGAACTTATACAGTATGTACATTTCTCAGTGCTGCTCATGCCAAACATAATAAGGGGGTTTCACTATGAGGATGGAACTTGCTTTTGTCACCAGGAGAGCTGATCTAAGTCCCTTTGTGAGCCATGGGGGGAGCTGCTGAGGCCAGCAGGACTACAGGCAATTCCAGGTTTGACAGCTTCCTGGTCCAAAAATGACTTCAGGAAAACCAAATATTCAGAGCTGGTGGAGTGGAGCATGACACAAGGCTCTCCCTTCTCATGACATTACAGAAATTATGAAGGCAATCACTTGACCGCTGTTTCAACTGAATGTTAAACACCTAACTGCAAATATGAAACCAAGGGCCTTTATATAAAATGTGAAATTCACATACCATCATCTATCTGGTCAACAAAGCTGCTAAATATTTTCATATACACAAAAACATTGACAACCAAGTTGTGCTACAAAAACTAAAACAGCTTGAGGATTTCACTCAGTAATTCCATGCAGTCTGGCATTAATCAGTTGGACATCTTCAGAAAAAATATATTGCTTTAGTGAGGAAAAAATCTAGTTCTTCCAATAAAGTCACCTTCAGTGCTTCACATGTTTATATTTTTGCTTAGAGAAGCATCGTTTAAAAAAGAAAAACAAAAAAACAAAAAAACAACTGAGAAGGAGCCAAGGATGACTTAATGATGCACTTACTGAAACTTCTGCAAATTGTCTTTTTTGTCAGCTTTTGATATACAAAATCTGCCCTGGCACTTCCAATATTAATATCCATTCTTTTCACCAGCACAGTTGTGACTTCTGATTATGATTCATGCTAAATTACAAATCCAAACAGAAGCAGGGGCCACATTGCTTCCAAAAAAACATATTAATATATTATTATAAATACCGTCAGCACTATTTGCCATCCAGTTAATTTCTTAGGAAATTATGTTAAATTAGCATGTAGCACTCCACACCACCTCTTTACATGCTGGAGGTGGCCACAGTACAAAAATCTGTATGGTTCCAATTGTAAATCTGATGTGATGGGTCATGAAATGAAATGTTTCTCTGCAGGCTGATTGCCTGAAAGGAGAGGGAACCTACTTCTAAACAAGCTTCCTCCCCCATCCCAAATAAGTGGGGAAGGGGGCAGTGAGTCCTGTAAATCTCACAGTAAACTGTAAGTCCTAGCTGAAAAATACTCTCTTGCAAACCAAAGAAAGGTTTAATTCCATTTCTGAACTCTCACACAGTGAGTTCCTCACTGACCATTTATTTAGCCAACTGAGAGTGTAACCTATTCAGTGGAAACAGTGAAAAACATTAATTTATCTGAAAAAAGCAGGCTCAAAGCTTAAGTCAAAATGGGTCTATGGGTAAACATGACTTAAATTACCTTGTATTTGGGAAGATCCTAGTGATAAAAATGCCATAGTTCTTGCCCAGAAGGTCATCAGCCAGCCATTACTATTTCTGCAGTGCAAAGACAATGAAGAGCAGCTCTGTTTTAAGAGTAGATGAAGTTAGTTGCCTGAATCGTGCATTGCATTAACCTGCAAGTTATTCCAACTTCCACTTCATAAAAAGACAAACACAAAAGAGAGACTCTCCTAGGATACATAAACATACCTTATGTGAACTAGAGATTAGCAATGGAAACTATGGAAGGGGAGCATGGTTAGCACTCTTATTATCTTATTCTTATTAGTCTGGAAGCATTAAATCACTGCCTTGGCAATTTTGGCATACTAGTGTGACTAAGATTCGTAATTATTTTGGCTGCTTCTCACAACATCTTGGCTACATTAAGAACTTCACCCCAAATCCTCCAAACTCAAACAAAACAAACTCCATCTTTGAAGCCAGGCTTTCTACATAGATCCATCAGTGGGAACCACAGGTTCTAAAGCAGCAGAGTTCATATTCATAAGCTTGAATATCAGTATTTGGCTGGAACATGCCCCAGAAAGCTTTTTTTCTACTAAGATCAACTATGACAGCAGGTAATGCTTGCAGTCTGATTAATTTCTGCGTATTTTAAAAGTCAAGAAGCAGCAGAAGTCATATTTTTATAAATTTTCTACTGTACACATGTTATAAGATCTTGATGGCTTGCTTGATTCAGCTATGATCTGACATACTTGATGCCTATCACTGTACACTGTTATTGGTGACAAACACCTTTAACCAACCAAGAGAGCACAAGCAAGCAATTCATTCTTCTATGCCTTCATTAGGAGCTGCAGACTATTAGATTATTACTGCTTCATGTTGCATTTAATTTAACATAGTAACTACTTTTAAGAAGCAGGGTAAAATATACACCAACCAAGAAATACTGGCCCTTTGAAGTGGTGGAAAGTTCTAAGTACACTCACTGGGTCTATTTTGACAATCTGCATTGTGTATTAAGAGACAGGTTACAAAGCCTTATTGGCTTTGTTGTCTGGAATCATGACAAATGACAAATTCCTTGTCATTAGCAATTAATGGTTCAAGAGTAATGTTTAACATTCACTACACAACTTTTTTTAAGCACTTAATAAGGAGATACCAACTTTTCCTTATATTTTTAAAGGATCCTACATATTCACACACTGAACCTACAGAAGATTTTAGGTGCCTCCTCACCAGAGCAGTGCCTACAGCCCTCACATACTTAACAGAAGAGTGGAATTTCTGTCCTACAAGCTCACAAAACTTATCTTGACGACAGCAGGTTTGGTATGGTACTCAGGCTCAATGCCATGCTGTGGGGAATAAGAGCCCTTCCTGGATTCACATCACTGGCTGTTCTAAATTATGATCTTTTTAATCTGCTCAGTAAACACAGAACTCACCCAAGGCACAGCTGGGTGCTAAGTCCCAGTGCAGTGTGCAGAGAAATACTTGACCAGATGTTATATTGAAAATAGAACTGCTAGTTTCTCTTCTAAGTAGTGATATCAGGTTCACAGTGAAAGAGGATATGGAAAAGAAACAGAAGTAGGAAACTGAATTGGTAATTATTATTTCCTTTCTCCAGAGCACCCTTAACCAGATTCATCTCAAATGAAGGTTGAATCAAGCCGGAAAACTTATGGAACAGGTTTCTCTTCTGTGATCTCCCAAACAATCTTCACAGCTGCTCTAGAACATGTGTCAACTGCAAAGTAAATTCATATCCACTTTCCTCCATCTATGTCTTAACAAATTTTATTCTAACATTGTCCACTAGGTTTCCATTTCTGTGTTTTGCCATCTGGATCTCATCGTTATAAATATAAGTTACTTTCACCCACTTGGCTCACTTCATCTGTTGAGACTTTTAAATGGCTTTAAAGATGATTTACTAAAAAAGCAGTGAAAGATCTAACATGAGAAGAGATTACTTAAGTAGAGAATTTCTTGCTTTAATGTCAAAATTATGTTACCAATGACTTCTGGCTTCCCGCACTGTTCACCCAGTTTCTGCATATTTGTTCTCTGACTTTATATATCTACACAAGCACATGAGTTACTCAGAAGGCACCCACATTCACAGCAATGATCTACTCACAAATTTTAAACATCTGAAATACAAACGTGTAGTGTCAGAAAAGAAGACAGAAAAAAGGTCCAAACACTAATGGCTTTGTTTCTGAAGCACTATGGAACACAGTGACTGAGCCCAAGAGTTAAAGACTTTATTAAATGAGTTTTCTTTTCCCTACTCAACTGTGTATTTCATCAAAACAGAACCAAGCTCCAAGAAAAAAATATCAATCTGAAAGGACAGTCAATTATTCCAGTTACATTTTTAAATAGTTTTAAAAGTTTGTACTTTAAAGTCAAACTCTTATCTAACTTTGAAAGGAAACAAAAAAGAATTACAGTAAGAACATAAACCAGCATTGCCAACTAATTGCTCCTGCCTCTTCTGGAAGCAGGAGCTGCCCTCTTTCTAGTTTATGTTCTCATATCTTCAGTGGCTCAAGTGGTACAGATCCAGGCTTGGCAATTAAATTTTGTAATCTCTTCCTCAAAATGCTGTTCAGGACTGTATCTTTAAACAGGACAGAAACATGACACAGCTCATGTACAAAAGGAAAATAAAAAACAAAAAAAGGAAAGCACAAACACTTAAAGTTGATTCTTCCCAGACGTTAAGGGCATCTTTTGTCTTAACATTTTTATATGATCAGGAGTGAAACATTAGGGATGAACCAGAAAGGTTGCATTCTTTATCATTCTCCTCATCTGAATCTAAATTCAGCTGGTAAGAAATACCAGTTCAGGGCTCTGTATGCCCTGGCACCTGCTACAGGAAGTTTTTCCCAACAACAGGCAACCATTTAGTCAAAAGGGAAGTATTTTTGATTCTTCAAGTATCTAAGAAGCACTTTAAACTCTACCCAGATATCAACAGGCAGGTCCTGGAGCTGCAGTGCCATAAGCATTGCAGAGATGCCCTTTTGGCAAATAAGCCCTTATCCTGTTTCCAGTATTAAATTTAAAATTAATTTTTTTAAAGTGTAGTAAGAAAGGGCCGGGTTAAAAAAAGAGGCCAATCAGTCAAAAAGCTGACTGAATTACTTCTGAAACATGCTGTCAAAAACAGCTGGGATAATTTTTGAATATCAAGGTTTTCATTTGACTAGAGATCTAACAGCAGGCCCACTGTCTTCAAGGACTAATATTGCCTCTGGCTGCTTCTCAATACCAACCCAAATTTTTCTGGGCTAGACTTCAATCTGTTTGTCCAGTATAAGCTTGCCACCATCTGGGACACAGCCACACCATCTTCAGCTAAAGGGACAGGCAAGTCCCACTGTCCTCACTTCCTGCAGACTGAAGGAAAACAATAAATATTGAGTTCTCCAACATCCCAAAAGCGACCTCAAAATCTCTGAGATCTGGGACTCTGTTACAGCATATACCTAATGGATTTCCAGTGTTATGTCACAAAGCATCTCCTGATTGGTTGGCATTTCACTTACAAGCCAAGAAGATGGAAGAAAATAGACGAAAACTGGGGACTCAGTGTTTTCTAAGGATGTCATGACATTTGTAATTCCTTCTCAACCTATAACAAAGGAACTAAGCCAAACCCTGTATCCAATGTATTTGCAATTATTGACATTGCAAAAGCAATCAAAAGAGCTGGGTTTGGCTTGGTAATATTTTCTATTCCCTCCATGATATTCCTTTAACTATTTTACGCTATTCTCTGACCCTGTTAAAAGCCATCTTACCAGAAACCCACCACTTTTCCATGTGAATGCACTTGTCACCAAAATGAGCTGCCACCTTGCATTAGTGGTTCCAAAAGCCTCCTCATAGGAGCTCAGAAAGAACAGAAAATAGGGCAAAAGTGATGCATCATCCCTAAAATGCCGCTACTTCACTTGTCAAGGATTGCAATTAGAGTTGGGCCAAGGCAATGTTAGCTCAGCTGCCTCTGAACACACCTGTTTCAATTTAATTTGCAGTAATTAGGAAGCCTAGGGCACTAGGAAAAACTGCTGTTCACTCACCGTTTCAAATAGCTGAGTTTTCATGTGCCATTTAAAATGCTGTTTTTCAGAACAGACTGCTGACTTGCTAATGCTAGGAAAATGAAATACAGCAAAATATTTTTAGCAGCAGGAAGTTGTTGCTGGCTACTGCCAATTACATGCCTTGTACTTGAACAGTGACATTTTTTTCCCCTTGCTTAGCCTTCAAGATAGGTAAAAGCTGGCTGAGGTCTCGGGGCATGAGGATTTGAATAGAACTTAGTCCCTGTGAGCTGGCTGATATTTCTGGAGTCATAGTCAATTCTGGCAGCAATCTACTGTGACAGAGCAAGCAACAGTGTCCCAGATCCACTACTCAAAAATGGGAAAAGGAAAGGATTAAGCAAGAGACTTGGATCTACTGGCTTTGGCAAAAGGCTGAATAGCTTGTCATGCTAAAAAGATTACTGAAATTGGGGAGTAGAAAATGGGGCAGAGGGGGGAGAAATAAAAAAAGCATACAATTACATAAGAACAGATATTTATACTCTGAGTTAATTTATCAAGCTGACAGAGAGATGAATGATCTACCATTAAAATAAGGGGATACAAGTTTTCTTTATATCACAATCATTATTTACAACTTTTAAATATTCACAGAGGAGTCAAGTATGCTCATCTCTTAATGTAAAATGTGGTCACGCAGGCCAAAAGAAAACTCTTGGCAAAAATAAGTTTCTAAAGGAACAGGGCCCAAAGAATGATTTTTTCAAAAACAGGATAGATCTTAGCAATCATGATGGTACTTTCTTTTTTCTTTTTTTTTTTTAAATCTACACTGCAAACCACAGAGGGCTCAATAAACTCACACAAATCTAGATCTCTGAGTAACAAAACAATGAAAAAGGGCAACAACAAAAGCCTGTGGTGTAGCTAGACACAGCTACTTAGGACTTCTTAAAATATAACACAAACCTGATTTTTTTTTTTTCAGGTGACATACAGCTCTGCTTTGAGGCAAGTTTGTTCCCACATGCTGAGAATCCAACTGAAGCCCTCCCACTAAACTAACTTGAATAGATGCATGCATTTGTACAAGTAAAAATGCATTATCTTAATAATTGGCCTTTTTGTTGCTGTAATGCCATTAGAAACAACCATGCCACTGTATATTTTTCCTTCTTAAAACATCTCCCTGCCCAATCCCCTACAACAACAAAAAAAAAAAAAAAATCTGGGAGATTCACAGCAATGCTTCCTGAATATTGCTTTGGTTATTTTGGAATGCTTTTAATATTATCAGTAATAATTTTTTGTAGACTGATGTGTGCTTGAAATCTGGACAAGAAAACAGAAAAAGAAACCCATATAATAAAGTGAGGTTTAGTGGTCAGCACCATTTTTTCACCTCTTAGGTGAACTTTATGGAATACAGAAGTGTCTGCCTGAATCTGTGCTTATATAAGGGATATGGGACACCCATATATATGTCACACATTATTTTAAAACTATGAAAAATCAGAACATATGAGGCTGGATCTTCATTTATTCATTTGCCTTTGGTGCTTCAACAGGCAATTTCTTTACAATCCAGGATTTTAATTTTTCTATTTCAGCTCTGTTCAGCTCATGATTGAGGTTTGGAAAAGTATGAAGTGATGCTGATACTCCCAGAGACTTTAACATCTTGTTGGTCTCTTCACCCCATGAGTAGAGAACTAGCTCATCAGCAGTTCCATGACACTGAAATAATTCTGGAAGAGCACTTTCATTTCTTTTCAAAGCCTAGATGGAAAGAAGACACTGTCAGACATACTGCCAAAAACATAAAAAGAATATTTACAATTACATGGTGATAACTTATTGCACTTACTGATCTACATTTTAGGGGTCATATTGTACTATCTCTATAGAAGTAAACAAGGAAATATTGGAAAAAACTGCCCTTCAAATTCCAATACAATAACTCTTGACAAATGAGAGGGTTTACTTTAAGGTCTATACCCCTCTCCAAACAAGAGAAATAGAAAAAAATTCATGACAGCAAATGAAGTTCATGAGTATTATAACACATCACACATTTTCAAAGAATAGTTATACTTACACAGAATCTTTAACAATTAAGGACAACTAGCAAAGCATTTCATTTGTTAATCTCTTTCTACACTTTAATGTTGTACTATCTGTGCAAAAAAGTGCACTAAAACATTATTTAAAGACAGCTTTAAAGCCTCGCTTTCCTAATATTCTGATTATCTATTTTTGGAAAATGGCATAAGTTTAGAATGTGAATCCAATGCATCAGATGTGTAAATATGTATAACGAATTTTAATCACCTTGTTTTCCATGCAGCTAAGCATGTTTTCTATAACATCTACTACACACTCACCTGGTAAACAGCAGAGTCTTTATTCAGAAAACTAGACAAGGCAAAGACTCCTGCCAGGTCCTGATGAAACCTAAAGGCCAAATGCATTGCCATTCCACCTCCCATTGAAAAGCCTCCTAGGATGCAACAAAAGAAACAAAGATTGGATTTTTCTATGTCTGTGTAACCCAATGTACAATTTATTATCTTCAGACTTGTTTCTTTTATACATAATACAACAAAAAACACACCTTGAGTATCATAAAGGTTACAAAGATTTTAGAATCACAGAATCACTTAGGCTGGAAAAGACCTCTAAGACCATCAAGCCCAACCTATGACCCAACACCATCTTCTCAAGACTAGACAATTGCACCAAGTTCCACATTCAGTCATTTCTTGAACACCTCCAGGAACAGTGCCTCCAGCATCTCCCTGGGCAGCCCATTCCAATGTTTAACAACCTTTCTGTGAAGAAATTCCTTCTGATGTCCAACCTGAACCATATGTGGCATAGCTTGAGGTTTAAATCAAAACATGATGCAATTAAGATACTGGATAGCTAAAGCAGTGCTGAAGATTCATTATTGAGACAGGAAAAAAATGCCATTATGCCATTACTTCAGAAGCCAATTGTGTATGGTCCCTATCAGGTAGCTGAATACTGTGGCCATACATACACTGATATTAACAAAGTAAAACTCTGTGAACAGGTAATTCTCACTGCTTTTTGTACTCAAATTGCTCCCCTAGGCTAGCAGCATTCACACATGAAAGATCTCTATTGTACATAACCAATGAGCATTCACATGAAACTAGCATTGAGGATATTTTTGTTGCTATACCTTGGGATATATAATAAATAGGGAACAAATGCAATATACTCCCCCTGAGCTCTAACAGGATCTCTGAATTAATGACCTTTTGTGATCCATATGTCTCTTCAACTACACTAAGTCCTTACCAAAGGTAATTCCTCAGGGACGATTTTTATATGACAAATGCTTATGCACTGGGAAAGAAATCCAGACTACCACATTACTTCACAAGGACACAGTACAAAGGCCATTATATTGACTGTATCCAGATAATGAATAGAGTGACGTTTCCTTTATTTTCTTATGGACAATCTGGTCACTTATTTCATTTCCTTTTGATCATTTTGAAGAGTGCTGTCATCCCCAAACCCCAAAAGAAGCACTTATACTCTAAGAGACCATTTTGCATTTGCTTACAAATAAATACAGACAATGCTTTGTCAACAAATAAGAATAAGTCCATTTAAAGTATTTCAGATGACAGGAAGAAAAGCTGCATTGAAAAGTCATTACTAGTTTGTAAATGATTTAATCTTAAAATTTTGTACCCAGTTAGTCACAATCTGGCACACTGTGTGCAATTACTCACCAGCAGTCTTTGACAATGCAGTCACCTTCTGTTTAGAAAAATATTAGGTAATGGCTCTTTTATGTGGCTCATACTACTACAAGAAAATGCAACACAAAGGACTATCTCTTTGAATTTGATTTGCATGGGAATACCTGAAGTTTATCACCTGATACCACAACAATCTCTGAGTAAATGCCATATGGTAAATGCTTCAAAACCAACAATTTGAATAAGCATTTATAGATGCAGACTATGTTTTCAATTGCAAGAACCATTTCAGTGTAAGTGTATGTTTGACATACCACATAAAAGACATTCTCAGTCAAGAACTTCTACAATAATTCAAATTTTGGATGAAGGAAAAATAAGAGGCAAGCATAGATATTACACAAAACAATGGTATTAAATGACAGCGTGTAAACAAAACACAAAAGTATATGTATACAGATGATCTCAGCATGAAGAATACATAAACTGTACAGCATTTTAAAGCAGATTGTGTCAGGAGTGTTAGACAAAATCAAAATGACACAGCAACATTTCATCCTTAGATGGGCAGAACATTGCAAGGCCTTCACCAATCTACTTCTCTACTTGAGACCAATCTACTTGCAAGACACACAAAGACTGTGCATAGAAGTTCAGAGTTTGCCAGTAGGCCTTAAATTTAGAATTAAGTTCACTTTCCGTTTTCCCCTCATGACTATTTTAATGAGAACTGTGATTAATGCTTCACAGTTTAACGGGGTTAGCTCAACAATGCTCAGGATGCCAGTTCAGGAAAGCACCTAACTCTTTGTGTTAACTTCCCTGACTCACAAAGGAGGCTTATGTGTAGACTAATAGGGGAGCAGACACAAAAGACTCAATTATGTAAAACACTTCCAGTTGCAGAGAAAGTTCACTCAAGGATGCATTTATGACCTCAAATCTGTTACAGTGTAGTGCTGATTTTTAGGTAATACTCCTCTGCAATAAGAAGAAAGCTGCTTGTGACTCAATTTGATAGCTGAGAAAGATCTGCTGAAATCACACAATCATCACACTTCCAAATTAAAGAAGCTGAATCAGAAGGAAACACCCATGCAATACTTTACTAAAATAAAACATTATTTTCTGGAATATAATCTGTAACTAAATTCAGGTAATTTTAGGCACAGGATGATGTAACACAATGTGAAAGGAAACTGAATTTCTCATATGGAATTTATTCCTGATTGCATAAAACAGAAATCCTCACCACAGTTGCCATTTTTCAGTGATAAAATATTCCTTGTAAATGGCCTTAGGAGCCTTTTAAACAAAACTCCATCTCACTTTTGTAAAAGATCTTGATTTGTATTAATTTGCTTCCCATTTGTATCTGCCTGAAATGATAATCTGGTCCCTGATGACACTTGAACATTACACGGAGTTCAGAAAACCAAGTATTTACCTACTGTCAAACTTTGGCTTTATTTGTTTCTTTATACTTTGTCTAACAATGTCTGTGTCTGCATCTCAGAAAAGACAAACTTTATTATCCAGCACAAAGATTTCTTTTGTATCTCCTGTCCTGTATACATAAGAGAAGGCTAAAAACTGCCTTCTCCCCATGCATCACTTTAGTGGCTGCAATGAGCTATTCCTGAATTCAGAAAGTTCTTTAGGTGTTCAATCTTCTTCACCGAAAAAACAGCTCTCTAGCACACAGAGGTTTGACGTTGCCAAGTGCATCCTGAATCATACAGACCTGACTATGAAATGCCTTAGTCCATTTGTTATAATGATTATGGAATTAGAAAACAGCAAACATCACTTTTTTCACTCTTTTCAGTAAAACTTTAACATTGCTTGCCATAGTAGAAATCACAGCCATGGGGAAAAAATAGTTATGAATCATACCTAGTGCACAAATTTTGAAGAAAAAAAAGAACAAAAGAAGCTAAACCCCAGATTTTTATGAGATTAGGATTTGGACTTGGGTGTAGGAGTGTAGTTTGGGGTGTTTGTTTTAAGCAATATTTCTTCACTAGTTTCTCTGTGTTAGTTGTTCTTCATCTTTCCTGTATTTCTTCCCATTTGTCAGCACATCTTTGGTAACAAAGTGTCAAGGTACACAGTGCCTGTGCCAGCACAGCACAAGACAAACACTCTTCTGTTTTATAAGACTACACTAGCACAGTCAGAAATTGTCTTGGCCTGTTCTGATGTTATTACATTAATACATTACATTACATACTCTTGCTTCCTTTTCATTCCATTTCACAGCATTTTTGATTCTCAATTTCTCCTTTTTCAGTATTTCAACTTAGAGTTGCTTTAATCGATTTGTTATCAGGAATTTCTCCTTAAAGCTACATTCCAGTTTACTTTCCCTTCTCCCTAGGGACTTTGTGATTTACCTTCTATTAACAGTAACAGCACAACCTTGTTCTACACATCATCTGCTAAGAAGCTGACTTTCTGTTTTGACCTTCCATTTTCATCAATGAATGGAAGTATTACATATATTTAACAGTGTTCACAAATGAGTATCAGCAAAGAGTACAAATGCCAGTGGAACAGCAAACTCCCTTCACTACAGAACTCCCTGAACACTGCTCCTGTGTTAGGTACACAAACACGTGGTTTGTCTCAAGTGAATTTCCTCACAGCAGTGATTTTCTTCTTTTAATCTCTTAATGAAACTTCATCAAACCCAAACCTTGCACAACACCAGCAGAACTGCAATGAATGGTTTCCACCTTTGACAGCCTTGTTATTCTGGTTGTTACTTAGTCTTTACAAGAGCAACAAACTTGAGAGTCTTTACAAGAACAAAGGCAGCTTCCCTTGAGTGGCTCAGCCAGTCGCTCTTCTTAGGAATGTGAATTAATTTGGTCCCCAACTTTCTCACCAGTCTAAACACATTTTGAAATGCATATTTAAGTGGTACGACTTTTACCACTTTCTTGTAAAAACAAGTGTACTATTGTTTCTAGCACATCAACTCGCACTAAAACCAGAAGCAGTTACATTTTATTTTCAACTGTTACAGGTAATAGTGGGGAACCTAACATGTGTACCTAAGGGGTCATAATTTTTAGCACTGGAAGGAAAATAAAATCCATGAAAAGTCTTGAATCAATTCTTATTAAGATGTTACTCTGCCAATCTATGGCTTGCTTCATTTACCCAGTGTGTTTTCTTAGTTGTTTCTGGAGAGGACAGCAGTCCTGCCACAACACATACCTGTCATTTTTACAGTCAGCATAACTGCACAACATGGGAAAAAGGAAGAGAACAACCTATCCTTTATGCTCACAGTATTTGTGACTCTAAACTGAATCACAGGAAGGAAAGTGGAAAACAGCTCTCTAAAGCAAAGAGTAGTGATGCACAGAAACAACTTACTGTTCTGCAGAGCTGTGAACCTTCTGTTAGCAGAGACTCTTTAGAATTCAGAAAAGCAATGGTAAGGATTTGCCTAAATAGAGCTGAGCCTGCACTGGCATGTGACAATGGAATAGCAAATGTTGTGAAGTCTCACTTATCTATGATTCTGTTGGCACAACTGCGAAGAAAGTACAGGTTAATTTGTAGCCTGTGGCATATCTGCATAATTCTCAAGCATTCTAAAAGCCCATTCATCAATTTAATTTTGCACTGAATTCAGGCATTCATTAAAGATGACTAAGGACATGTCTTCAACAGAGTTCTCAGTAAGAAACTGAAAAGATCAGAACTTGATTCACTTTATTCTCTTACCAAAGTCATTATCTTATAT